TTTCCTGGTCGGACTAGACTGTCGGAGAGGCTGCCGGATTTGCCTGCACATTTTTTCTTCCTCTACACACAGCTCACGAACGTCAACTCATCCCATTCTGATTTAGGATGGGGTGGGGATTATGAACTTTCATCTCAACGTGTTTTAAACCAAGTATCTGGGCAGGGCCCTTGCCCTCCAAGCTTAAGGCAGGGCCGGTTCCAGCTGAATGATGGAGAGAAGTCCAGTGGTTCTAGCTTTCATGGAAGGAAAGGGTATGGATTGGTGGCCCCAGGGTCTTTACCCCATGAAAGGACCCTAAGGTAAGAGAAGGTGGAACCCTAGAACCCTGGGGAGGGCTCTCACAGCACTCCCTTCTCCTTCCAGGGAGTTGCTGCCCTTCTCCATCCTTTAGTCATTACCTTGTTTTCCCTTTTCTCTTTTTAGGATTTTATTTATTTACTCAAGAGAGAGCTAGCAGGAGTGGTGGGGAGGGGAAAGGGAGAGGGAGAAGCGGGTTTCCCACTGAGCAGGGAGCCCAATGTGGGGCTCCATCCCAGGACCCCTGAGATCATGACCTGAGCTAAAGGCAGACACTTAACTGACTGTGCCCCACCCCGTTCTCTTGATTACTCCTCACAGGCTTGCAGTAGGTATTCACCCCTGCTTTTTACAGATCAAAGAGGTCAAAGAGGTCGGGAAACTTGCCCCCAAACATGTAGCTAATAATCGACAGAGGGAGTATCAAACCCAGGGCCTCAGATTCCCTGCTCCTTCTGCTCTCTGAGATTTTTCTAGTCATCCAGAAAACTCTCAAGACATTGTTCAACTTTGCCTCTCCTCTGTGCCTCAGTTCTCCTTGTTGGAAAGGGACAGTCCTGGTGTTGGTGCAGTGCCGTCCCCACACCCTGTCCCAGTTTGCTGCCAAGGCAGAATTTCCAGAGTGCTCTGAGGTCTGCTCGGAGGAAGGTTCAGAGTCTGGGGTGGCCGGTTCTGAGACCAGCTGTGAACACAGCATGTGGCCTCGTGGAGTCTGTACCTGCCAGACCACTCAGAAAAGGACAGTTACTGGGAGGGAATGCCTTACACTTAGGCATGCTAGTAAATGGCTAACAACCAGTTCCCTGGGCTGCCCAGAAACCTCCTCCCAGCACTTCCACAAGTGGCCCTCCTCCCCTAGCCCCTGAGGCAGCTGCTGGGGAGGTGGGGGTCTCTCCCTCGGAGCTTCAGTTCTTGGGAGATGGAAGTCCCTGGCTAGAAAAAAGGATGTATTTGGAGGTAAACACTCATTCTCCAAACCTGGAGGAAATGCAGAGTTTGCTGAATTGGCTCCCAGGAGCTAAGTGAATTTGAATCATTGTCCTGCTCAGACCAGGTCTGCTCTCTGCTGCCCCTGCCCCCTCCCTGAGCCCCAGGAGCAACCTCTCAGTGGGGGCCTCTTGGGATGCTGGCAAGTGACCGCTTTGATTTATTCTTACTCTGTGCTTTCCTCTGTAACCAGCAGCCCTGCCTAGAAAGGGGAAGCAGAGGAAATGAGCACCCCCCTCATCCCTCTCTCCCAGATGCCCATCTTCATGGGAACACGAGGAAATTCACCCTTAGTGGACAAGGTGGAGCATACCAGCCTCCCCTACCCCTCACCCCTAAACAAACTGCAGGCGTAGCTGTGCCTTGTTTAGAAAAGAAGCACATTCTGGAAATCATGTGTTTAATGACAACAACGACCCCTCCATCTTGAGAGCACTTCGGGGCTTCCAAAGCACTCCTGTATACTATGCATCCTCTCTAGTCGGAGTATCTGGTCAACACCGTGCCGTGGATGGTGATCGTTAGAGTACTCTGATGCTGTCTGAGCCCGTCCCTGTGGGGACTTCAGATGCTGCCCAGCTAGAGCTTCCATCCCCTCCACAGGGGCCCAGCCGATCAGTCTCTGCTTGGCCCCTGCACTAGTGGAAACTCACCGCCTCACCGCCTCAGGATGGAGCCCATTCCAGCCTCAAAAGGCTCAAAGGCTGGGAAGCCCTGGTTGAGCCCCGATCTGTCTCCATGTTCCTATAGACTGAATGCATCGCTTGTAGTTTGACCCTTTGGGGCCTGCAGAGCAAAACCGATAGTCTAATCCCTTGCTCAGATATTCAAAGGGGGCTCCCATGTCTCATCACCCTGTCCCTTCAATCTTTCTTACGTATTCCAGATTCAAATACTCCTCCTACAACATAATGTACAATCCCTTCTCCAGCCTGATCAGTTCTCTGAACATTCTCTCCTCCACTTGTCTCAGCAGAGAGGAGCGGACTAAAGCCTTTGTGTGAGTAATGCTTCTGTTAACCCATCCTCAGATAGCATTAGGTGAGGTTGCTTGTCTCTGTGTTTTGTTTTTTGTTTTGTTTTGTTTTGTTTTGTTTTGTTTTTTGATAGACACATTACACTTTGGACATATTGAGCCTTCTGTCAACTCCAACACTGCTGTTAAACCATGTCTCTCCTGTTCTGCACTTATTTTATTGATTTTCTTTTTTTGGCTCAAGTGTTAGAAGCATTAAATTCTGACTTATTAGATGAAAATTAATCTTATTAGACTTAGCCTGTGGCCAAAAACTGTAAAGATCTTTGGATCTTATGTCACCTATAAATTTGCTGAGCGTTTCTTCAGCCCCCCTCTCAGTCACTGACAACAATATTGACGAAGAGGGCTGAGGAGAAAGCATGTCCTAGAAGCCTTTCCCAAGCTGACCTCTGTCCTTTAAATGCCACCCTCGGGGTGTAGCTTCCTAATCCACGCACTGTCCACCGGTTACGGCTCTCCATGTCTTCCACAAGGGTGTCGTGGGACGTATCTTGCTGAGGTCACTTACAGCATCTGTGTCTACACGTTTTCCTCACCTGCCAGCGTAGCCACCGTGTTAAATCCAGAAACAGCTCCAAGAGAGCAGGTACTCACCCTTGTCAGCTCAGTGCCTACCCAGCACGGTGCTCAGGGACTCAGGGAATGTTCGAAGAAATGACTGCTTGCATCAGTGGATGAAAGAGACTGGCCCAGATCGGTGCGAAGATGAGCGGTATTTAGTTTTTCTTTCTTTTTTTTTTTTAAGATTTTATTTATTTATTTGACAGAGAGGAAGAGAGATCACAAGTAGGCAGAGAGGCAGGCAGAGAGAGGAGGAAGCAGGCTCCCCACTGAGCAGAGAGCCCGACGCGGGGCTCGATCCCAGGACCCCGGGATCATGACCCAAGCCGAAGGCAGAGGCTTTAACCCACTGAGCCACCCAGGCGCCCCGTATTTAGTTTTTCTGATTCCACCCTCTTTCTCTATTTTGAAAGTTGAAACATTTGTTTCCACTTTGGTCCTTATTGTACCTCTTTAATACCCATGGGTCCTAAAATGACACCAGTTTGCTTCCTGATGAAAAAGTAGGAGTTTAAGAAAGTTAAGGGATTTGCCCAAGGTCAAAGGCGAATAATGGGAGACAGTGGGGTTTGAGCTATTATCTTCTGGCTTGAAGGTACCATGATGCTCTGTCTAGCCTCCCATGCTCTGAGTTTGGGAGAGTTCCCCCAGTCCAGTCCACAGTGACAAGGATATTTCTTCCTAACAAAAAATGATGGGGATCCAGTAAAGTAAAGCAGATAGTTATCTTTTAAAAAATGAAAGGGTTCATTCACCATCTGCCATTCATTGATTGAGCCACAAATATTTACAAGCATCTCCTAGTGCCTGGCTATTCTGGGTCCTAGGATTACAACTCCTAACCAAGCACTCTTTGAGCTTAGAGTTTAGCTGGGAGTGGGAGAGAAAATAACTAAGCAAGTAGATATGTAGTATCTGCTCAGAGAAAGGCCTATGAAAGAAAGCAGAGGAAGGGGACAGCGATGGGCAGAAGGGCTCTGTTTCATGCTGAAGACATGGCACCTGAGCAAAAATCTAAATGAGGTAAATGAGACAGCAAAAGCAAATATCTTGTGGGTATCAGCACTAGCAATAACGCGCTTGTATGGAAGGAAGAACCATGATTTTCCTTCCACGAGCAGGGACCTAGATCGTGTGATGAACATTCCAAAGCCAGAACATCTTGACTCTTTCAAGATGTATTCATTCATTCATTCATTCATTCACTCATTCATTTTTCTCAACAAGGGCTAAGCACCTATGCTATGTCTGTAGAGTGCCATGGATGAAGATGGAAACAGGGCAGATGAGTCTATCAAGCCCAACAGCGCTGGTGCAGTGGACAGGCTGGCAGAAGAGAAGAGTTGAGGCATGTCACCATTTGTGACATTTTAGGGATCCATTTGGCTAAAGAAAATATCTTATAAAAGCATTGAATTCTGTAATGATGGTCATCCAAAAATTTAAGCCATAGAATCCCTTCTTTAAATAAAACTTTATACAGAAAGTCCAATATATAGCATTAAAAGGTGTCACTCTGGCACAAAATCTGGGGCCTGGGGATACCTTCGAAAACATCACATAGAGCAAAAATCACTACCCAAAATACTTGTTATGGCTAAGAACAGAAATCTCTCCAGTGTCCACTAAAATCCGTTTACCTCCAAGCGCCAGGGAAACCAAATTTGGAAACCCATTCAATTATCAATCAAAAACATTTAAAACAGTTACTTCTGGCTCGAGCGAAATGGAATAAAGCTCTACGCAAATGAGAACAATTCAGCTTTTTTTTTTTCCTGCTCTTCAAAGTCATCAAATCAACTTATTACTGCCCAGAACAGCCCGAATGACCCATAAGCACGATTTAAAGGGCTCACCGTTGTGGGTTTTGTCTACAACCTGGCAGAGGTCACCACCTTCATTTGCATTAAGAATCATCTCTTTTGAAGAGTGTTGGTGCCCCACCTGGTTCTCTATGGTCCTCAATCATTCTCTAGAATGTTCTCATCTGAAGAATGCTTTCTCCTCACTGGAGCACGTAAACAAATGGATGCTTGTTACCCACTCACGGCTCCCCAGGGACCAGCTGTCCTGGCCATACTAACCCGCCACCTCCCCTTTCTTCTCTCTGCAGATGACAGCAACGGCTCAGGCTCCCTCGAAGACCCAGGCTGTCCACATTTCCGCACCCTCAGCCGCTGCCAGCACGCCGGTGCCCAGTGCCCCCATTGACCCCCAGGCCCAGCTGGAGGCTGACAAGCGAGCTGTGTACAGGTAGGAGACACTTCAGCCATGTCCAGAAGCCCCCCCCCCCTCCCCAGGCAGCCTCCAGTCCAGCTCGGCCCTGCGAGATGAGCATGCAGGCCAGCGGGTGGGCTCCTAAAGACCATGGCCAACAGCCACTTTCCTCACCACCTTCTCTCTCAAATCACTCTGGACATAGCTCAGCTGGCCACTGTGGGTTGACACTATCTTCCTGGAATTGTCTAGTGAGGGGCGAGAGAACCCAGGAAACAATCTTCCAGAAGGACGCTTTCCTCATCCCAGCTAGGCATTGAGCCCTCATGGGCGTCAGAAACCCTCAGTTCAGCTGACGGCCCACCTCGGGACGCTCTCCTTGCATGTCCCCCATTGTGGTCTTCACTCCAGGAAGTCCACCGGGCCACTGGACATCTGCCAGGACCATCCAGGACTTGGTATTAGCCAAACTTTAGTATGCCTGAAAATCACTGGGGAGAGCTTATCCAGATGTCTGTTTCTGGGCTCCATGCTCAGAAATGCAGAATCAGGAGGTCAAGCTATAGGAAAAAGAAGACGAATGTTTTCAAAAGCATTCCAGATGAATCTAATGCAGCTGGTCCTTGGAGCACATCAACATCGGATTCACGGTTGTCTTTGTTTTCTAGCAAGAGCTGTGGTGTGCGGCTGTGTGGGTTTCTGCGGCCTCCCTCCAGATGGGGAGCCCGCTGAGAGCAGGGCCCGGCCCTGAGTGTTCGTAGAGGGTGGGAGGGGCCCCAGGGCTGGCTGTTCTGTGCATGCAGTTGAGAAGTTGTCTGAGAGCAGCCTGAACGAAGCCCCAGCAGAGATTTTAGTCATTAGGTCTGTGGAACCCACACCCCTAGAAAAGATGCCTGAGTCAGTCCTGAGCAGGGAGGTTGGACCCTTCCTCGCACTCACTAGTGGGAGCACATCCATTCCCATGCCTCAGCAAGCACGTCTTACCTGTGACCTCACACACACCACAACAGGTGCCAGGATCAGTAGCAGGTGGAATGGTCCACCCCAGATGAAGGGAAAGAGGATTGAGTCCTTCCTCAATCCTCCCCACAATGACAGTGCTTTTCTGGGAATGGCCGTAATTACTGCTGTTACTCTCATTACCGTTGGCATTATTTTTAGCTGCTCAGATGAGCCGAAGGCCCCTAATGCCAACATGGAGTCCGGAGCAGTGAGCCCTGACCCGGAGTTCCTGACGCAAGGGTCTTTCCCCGCCCACGGGGAAGCATGAGTCACTGTGCCTGGGCCGCACTCCGCCCAGGGCACACAGGCCAGGCCTAGCGGGCCTGCGGAGAGAGCCCCGCTTTGGACCCGGAGAACCCCCAGATCTGGTCACAGTACCTGTCAGAGAGACGAAGTGCTCCTGTCCTCCTTTGGGGAAAGAGAGGAAAACCGTAAAAGCAAATGTGTGGGAATGGACAGATATACAGTCAAGAAACCAACACTGTGTGTTCAGAGCTTTAACAGAGAAGGTTTCACAAAGGAGGCAATATTTGAATTTGATCATAAAGGCTAGTTAGAGAGTCCACCAGAAGGAGAAATGGGCTGGAGTAGGCCCTTCCAGATGGATCAGAGCCTCTGAATTTCATGAATGGCCAGTGGCCAGAGCAGCTGGGTGTGGGGAGATGAGCCTCTCGCCCACCTAGAAATGAAACTGTAAGGTGGGCTTGTGCTTGTGTGGGCAGAGTGAGAAGGCGGAGGAGAGTACCATGGCCTCTGAAACCAGCCTGATGGTCTCATGGCTTGGGGGGACAGCCGCCATACTCCATGTAGATCATTGTAACCCACAGGATGTCCCAGGGCCTGGCAGAACGGAATCACCTGGGAGCTGTTTAGAGGTGCAGACCCTTGGGTCCCACTCAAACCACGTGACTTGTATGCACCATCCTAGGCATTTTGAAGACTCCTAGGGAACAGGGACTTGTTGTGAGCACAGATCATAGCCTGGGAAGGCCCCCGATTAGTGGTATAACAAAAAGTTTCTGGAACCCCAGGCTTGTGTCCCACCTCCTTTGTGTACTAATCTCTCTGAGCTTGAGTTTCCCGACAGAAGCTAACCGGTAAGCTTAGGAAAATCACGAGAGCCCCTGCAAGCACCTGTGCTTTTTCTGCCACGAAGCGGATAGGTTCCCCAGTCCTTCCCAAGACCCCAGGCTCATTCCCCACCCAGGCCACCCTGCAGGAGAAGTGGGTCACCTCTCCCAGGGGAGCTGCCCATCATGATGTCACTTGAAATACAATCGGCCAGATCTTCCTCCAACCAACACTTCTTCCTGCTCACCTGCCCACCTGAGCTATACCCTCTCCCACCGGGCTGAGCCCCCAACAGCCCTCGGCATTTGCCCAAATCACCTCTGCAGCTGTCTGACCATGAAGAAGGAACCCCAGGTTGGTTGCCACCAACTGCCGGGCCAAAAATATGGCGGCCCAGCATCTCCGGACAACTAGCACTTTTGCCAGTCTTCTCTCTGCAGTCCTTCCTGCCCCAGGGGCCTGGGGTCTTCTCCCACAACCACACCTCTCCCATTAGTACCAGCTGCTCTCTCTACAGCCGTTGCAGAATGACCGGGGAGGGAGCTCAGCCTTCTGAAGGGTCGGGTAACTTTAATTAGATTTGGCTGCCTTGGGGCAGCTAGGCAGCGCCAAAGCACATCAGGGAGTCGGCATTTTATGTCAATAAATGTAACAAGACTCTTTCACTTCACATTAGTGCCCAGCACCGACTTTTGGGATACCCCACTGCGGCCCCTCCCAGAACCACAGACGAAGGAAGCGAGGGTGGGGGGCTCCTCTCCAGGAACCTGCAGGGGGGCAGGGGGACAGTGTGACAAAAGGGAGGGGTGGGCCTGTGAGCCTAGGGAGCCTGCCAGTGCCCCGGAGGTTTTATTTGTGTATGAGGACGTGTTAATGAAATGTATTGGTTCCTTCTGATGTGGAAAGTGTGTGGGGGGTGGGGGGGGAGGAGAGGGGAGGCAGTCTGTCTTTAATTGGATCATACCAGAGCATCATCTGGGCTAATCAGCAAGGCAACCAGGAGCTCCCACTCAGATTAATGATTGCAGTCTAATCTGAGCAGATCCCATGACTGGATGCACATCGCGGGTAATTGTGTTTGTGTTTGTGGCCCAAGAGCCAGGCTGAGTGGGGTCTGAGGCGGGGATGCTCCATGCAGTGGGGACCGCAGGTTTGGACCTAGCTCAGTTCTCTCCTTCACCCCTGGAGCTTTTCCCCCAAGAAGTTCTAACTTAGCTTGGACCACCCCACCCCACCCCCTGCATGCTGATGGACAGCATTGGGTGCTGGCCAGGACCTGGCGGCTAGGTTGCCAGGAGGCAGAGATGGGGCCAGGAGGGTGAGGTTAATCCAGTTTTCACTCTCCCTCCTCCCCTCCGGTCTCTTTCGTTCCCCTTTGAAGTGAGTGGGTTCCCATGGAAACCATGATGTCCTGGGGAGCAGCAGAGTGGCAGGGAGCTAGGCCTGGCCAGGTGCGAGGAGGGGGAGGAGGTGGAGGAGGTCGGCTTTGCCGAGAAGGCTCTGCTAGGGCGTTGGTTCTCCCCTGCAAGACTCAAAAGCTCTCTGAGAACTGGGAGAAGGGACCTGCCCAGTGCGGAACAAGTTACCCGCTATTGATAGGGAATGCTGAGCTGCAGGCTTGAGCCGTGAGAAACTAGCAAGGGCCGTGTGCTTTGCGTCTGCACTGGAAATGATGGAATATTAAGCTGTGGTACAGGAGGAGAGGATGGGTGGCTGCTGCCTCCCGTATTTCTCCTCTGTGGCATGGCTCATGATTGCATGAATAGTGTTTCCGTTTCCCCCACTAGATCCTTAACTCCGTGAGGGCAACTTCTGTGTCTGTTTTATCCTTTGTCCCATCTCTGGCACCTGGCCAACCTTAGACTCGGCCACTTGGACGGAGTACGCACCAAAGCCGTGCTTGCTGAACGGATTCATTAAGTAGGCCGTACCCCATAAATACATCACCGTTTAAGCTGGCGAGCCGGCAAACTGGCTACGGGGGCAAGGGGATAGTGAGCCCCGCTTTGTAGCGTTGGCTAAGTTCCACCGTGTAAATGCTCCCACCATGGCCCATTTCAAGCCACTGACGGGATCCCGCTGAGGCCCTTGCCTGCCGCACAAGCAGTCAAGCTGCAGGTCCACAGTCTCTGATTTTAAACGGGTCAGCACATCTTCTTTTATGCTTATTTATTTTTATTTATTTATTTTCTAAAAGATTTTATTTATTCGAAAGAGTGTGTGAGTATAAGCAGGGGCAGGGGCAGAGGGAGAAGCAGACTCCCTGCTGAGCAGGGAGCTGGATGCCCACGTGGGGCTCCATCCCAGGACCCTGAGATCATGTCTAGCCTGAGCCACGGAGGCACCCCAATTTATTTATTTATTTATTTATTTATTTATTTATTTATTTATTTTAAGAGGGGACAGGGGGAGAGGGGGAGATCCCAAGCAGGCTCCATGCCCAGCTCGGACCCCAACATGGGGCTCGATCTCACAACCCTGAGACCATGATCTGAGCCGAAATTAAAAGTCAGACGCTTAACCTACTGAGCCACACAAGCACCCCCTTTTTTTGCTGGAGGGGAAATAAACAGATCAATACATCTTAAAACCAGTTCTTTGGAATGGTTTTATACATGCCTTTAGCCATGATCCCACATTTCTCAGTCCTCACTGGCCTGTCTGGTCTACCTCTGGGTTCTAAATGTAAAACGTTCTCTCTGAATGAATTCATACTTCCAACAGTGCCTAACATGGAGTAGGTGTTAGCGATTGTGCTTTTCCACCTTAACTCAGGCAGTGAATTTTCTCCTTCCTAGTTTCTACCCAGCACTATCTGTCTCTTCCCATCTGCTTGAGCCAAGCCCCACTCTCAGCCCAACCTCCCTACCTTCTCCGAGTAGATTCCAAACCTTTCCTGGTTTACCCGTCAACAGAACTCCTTCCGGCAGCCCCAGAAACCCTGCATCCAACCAGCTTCTCCT